AATTTTTTAAAATTTTATTTTTATTTTATATGTATGTGTGTATTGCCTGTGTGTAGGTGAGTGCACCCATGTCGTGCAATGCCCGCGGAGATCAGAAGAGGCTGTTGGATCCCTGGAACTGGAGTTACGGACAGTTGTTAGCTGCCATGTGGGTACTGGGATTCGAACCTGGGTGGGTTTTCTGCAAGAGCAACCAGTGTTCTTAACCGCTAAGCCATCTCTTCAACCCCATAAAAAATTTTTTTAAATTCCTTTGGAAAAAAAGTCACTTGAATTAACAGATTATATTTGGATTCAAGATTTATTGGGGGTTTTTTTTGTTTGTTGTTTTGGTCTTTTTGAGACAGGGTCTCCCTGTAGCCCCAGCTGTCCTGGAACTCGCTATGTAGACCAGGCTGGCCTTGAATTCACAGAGATCTGCCTGACTCTGCCTCTGGAGTGCTGGGATTAAAGGCATGTACCACCACACCCAGCAGATTCAAGATTTATTATAACAACAAGTAAATAATTGAATGGTCTACAGCACCTAAAAGATAGCCTTGACAGGAAAAATCTATAAATACCAAAGATTAATCTATACCCAGAGAAAGGATCCTAGAAACGAGCCTGAAACCAAAAAACGACTAAGGAGATTTTTTATTGAGCATTTTGTTACTGTGAATGAAGGATCCCAGAAAAAACTCATACCTTGAAACTGAACTTCTGCAAAGCTGATCAACTGGTGAGAACATCAGTGACTGGAGAGTTCAGAATGTTGCAGGTCCAAAATCCAGTTACCATTGACCTTGGGCCATCTTTAACCCCCCCCCCCCGAATCAGCCCCTCCTTGCCCACCTGTGTTTCTGTCAGACAGTAGGCCTAGGGACACTGTGGCCATGATACTCTGCTGCTGATGTGGACTGCTGGCCTCAAGGGCACAGTTTGCATCATGGAACATGGAACCTCATATCCCTATTTGGTCAGGGCAGTCCCAGATTGTGTCCCCCTTTCCTCTCAAGTGTCGTTTCATAAATTATGGAAGATTTTTGTGTAAGAAAGTTGATCAAAGTGAAGATTAAAACAAGCTCTAAGTCCAGCAGCAGGAAGTGGTGGATCAGATTCACATTTTGCAACAGATGGTTCTGAAGCACTTTGTGACTAGGCACAGCCCCTCCAGTTCTGGATAGTAGAACAAACTAGTCCCCTTTTCAAGGACAGCTAGGAAAACAGGGAACTACTTATGCCATATTTAAGTGACAAAATCCAGTTGTTAACTCTGCAAACAATTTGTAGAAAATGTTCAGATACTGTGTGTGTGTGTGTGTGTGTTGCCTGCATGTAAATAAGTGTACCTGTGTTGTACAAGGTTCATTGAGGACAGAAGAGGGTGTCGGATCCCCTGGAACTGGAGTTACAAACAGTTGTTAGCTGCCATGTGGGTGCTGGGATTCAAACTCGGGTCTTCTGCAAGAACAGCCACTGTTCTTAACTGCTGAGCCATCTCCAGCCCTCAGATACTTTTTAAATGAACTGTTCATCAAAATGTGAATGCTGCAGCTGGAGAGAGAACTCAGCGATTAAGAGCACTGGCTGCTCTTGCAGAGGACCTGGGTTCCGTTCCCAGCACCCACATGGTGGCTAAAAACCATCGGTAAATCCAAATCTCATGCCCTCTTCTGACCTCTGTGGGCATTGCACATCACTGGTGCACTTACATGTATGCAGGCAATACACTCATTTTTTTTTTTTAATGTGGATGCCAATTTGTGCTCCCCTCCAATTCTGACTTCTTAGTTGAAAATCTTTTAGAATCAACTTTTAAAGGAATAAAATTTTGCTCTTCTAAAAGATGATAACTTGGGAGCCAGAGAGATGACTCAGCAGTTAAGAGCACTGAGTGCTCTTACAAAGGACCTAAGGTTCAATTTCCAACATCCACACAGCAACTAACAACCATCTGTAAGTCCACTTCCAGGGGCTCTGACACCCTCTTCTGACGTCCATGGGCATCACACAGCACAAGTGCACTTACGTACATGCAGCCAATAAACTCAATAAACAAAAAAAATTTTTTTTAATTTGTTTAAAAATTTCTGCTGTTTTGTGCCAGCCTTGGACCCAAGCAGACTTCAATTCCTCTGCCTCAGATCTCTGGACTACCTTCCTAACGCAGATTA